AAAAATACCGATTTATCTTGTATATTATTTTAAATCGTCAGGTAAAAGCTATCGTGTACCTTAAACATACTATTATTATAATCCAAAAGAAAAAAAATTTTTTTCTAATTTATTTACTAATGCAATAAATAAAATAATGAAATAGTAAAACTATAATTACTATAATAGTTTTTTAACGTTTGAAGTGTACAATAAAATAATGTGTGTTCAAACATCTGTTACTGCAGCATTAATTTGTTTTTGTTACATATATCTATCAGGCATACTCATACATATAGATATAATATTTATTGGATTAAATTCAGATACCCGCTCTTTAATAGTAACTCAATTAGTACTTCGGTTTATTATTAAAAAAACATAGATTTATAATTTTTTCAAAGTTTAAATACCACTCATCAAAATTATAAAAATTCTCAAATCACATCTTAGAGAGTTTCATAAATATTTTAAAAATAGTACACAAATATTAATTTTGAAACAGCTACACTAAAACATTTTTACATATCTCACCATTTGTACTGATTTTTGCATTTGTTTTATTTTATTGTTTGTTTTATGGGAAAAATGTTTTTAATACATTTATTTGTTTGGGATACATGAAAAAAACCTAATTGCATTAATTTTAATAGCAAATTTGATTTAATAGGCTTGTCTTAATAATAAAGTGATCCTGTTTTTTCTACTACCTATTTGCTCGTAGCTACCTGAAAGGGCTAGTTCGGACTAATAGGTGAGCTCGCGGGCTCAACCTAAAAGAGCTTGCTAACTAGCACTAGCAAGAGCAATGCTTCGCAAGATCTACCACCGAATCGGAATCGTGACCCACTGAAAACGTCCGGCGAGAAACACTGTGGGTTGTGTATATTGGAACAATTGAGTAAACTACGATCCATCGATATTTGGAGCGATAGAAGATTTTAATGGCAATTTTAAGAAGGACGCTATTTCTGCCGTGAAGCAGTAACGCGTTTCGGTTTGAAGGGTGGGGCAGCCGTTGTAACTATACTGAGACCTTAGAACTTATATCTCAAGGTGTGTGGCGCATTTAAGCTGTAGATGTCTGTGGGTTCCAGTAACCACTTAACGCCAGGTGGGCTGTGAGCTCGTCCACACATCTAGGCAATAAAAAAAAAACGCTAAGCATTATTCTCTGTATATTTTTATACTGATAATTTAATACATTAACAAAATCAGTTCATTAAACTCTACAGGCATGAAAATTGTAGTGGCCTAAAGGATAATTCGTCTAGTGTATTCGTATCAGGCATTGTGACAGTGCCCGTGTTTGGATGCCGCTGGTAGATGCTAATTTTTATGGAAAATCGTCCTAACACATTTCCACATATAACGTCCACGATGAAGGAATAGCACCGTGCAGTTAAGGTCATTCAGCAATTACACCATCCGGTATATTTTAGCCGCGAAACAATCCCGTTGTCAGTATCAATGTCTGTGTTCTGGTTAGAAGTGTGGGGCAGCCGTTATTCAACATAACTTCGACCAGAATGAATGGTGACACATATACACATTGAAATTTATTTATATAGGTCTTCGATATCATCAAGTGAGTTGTGGGCTCATACACTGATAGAATGCAATAAAAAGACACAATGCATTGATAACCAGATCAAAATCATTAAACAAAAAATATTCCTAATATTTTAATTTTAATTAAATTCATTTTTCTTCTACTTTTAGTATGTCTACTCTAAGCATAACGAAAAATACGTAAACACAAACCAGAAAGACATTTTTTATTAAATTTTATTAAGTACTTCATCGGACATGCTTATATGTAGTTTCATACAATTTATTGGGTTTTAACAATACAGCACAATGTTTTCAAATTAAAAGGTCTTCATTGTAATTTGCCACTATGCTGACTAGTAAAAAAATGAAATTGTCCTAATCTGAATGAATTGTGTTAGTTAGTAAGGAATTAGTCAACGAATTGCATTAATATTACAATACAAAAATTCAATATACAAGCACTTACATTAATAGGGCCGATTTTAGATTTTACTTTATTTCGTGATATATTTAAATTAATTATCATTATAAAACAGTAATTACAATATTCATAATACCGGGATCTCGGATTCTAAACTTTATTTAGTAATGTAAAAATTAAAGTAATAAAAAAAATTACAGCATCACAATTTTGCTAAACTTTTTTATATTGTTTAGATGGTTAGACGAGCTCACGGCCCACCTAGTTTTAAGTGGTTATCGGAGCTCATGGACAACTACACCGTAAACGCCGCCACTCACCTTAAAACCTGAGTTCTAAGGTCTCAGTCTTTACATTACAACGGGTGCCCCAGCCTTCAAACCGAAACGCATTACTGTTTCACGGTAGAAATAGGCAACCTACCCGTGCGGACTCACAACTCGCCTTACCACCAGTAAAAATATAATAAAGCACCGTTCTAATACCGGTTCTCGGTAAGTACCGCAATCACACATCAAATCGTTCACATTATCGAAACCAATTCCGTTTGTCCAATTATTTGATATCGTTAATCAAAACGTTACGATGGTATATTACGATATACATCGTCTCGTGAATATTGAGCAACCTTCACCGGAAACGCTACCGAACAATCTATCTACGATCTACCGATTAATTAGTTTGATTTGCAATACAATGCGGACTATGTTTCAAATGCTGACTGACGGTATGCGCTCAGTCATCGCACCATCGTCGGGGTTTCAACCCGTTGACAAATTACGTGACTTTACGATGAGCTTTTATGGTGATTTTTTTGGAACGAAGCTCCTTATGGTACGATGTGGAGGGGTACCCTAACCGAGAAAAAACGTCCGTAACGTAAGATGTTTATTAGTAATGCACACAGTGTACGACTTAACTTTGTAATAACGTACAAAAAATAAAAATAAAATTTATTATATATTTTTTATAAATCAATGTGAATAAAATAAAGTTGATGACTTTGTAAAGTAGTTTTTTTTTATCAATAAACAAATCATAATAAAAATGTATACTCGAATAATTAGTTTCTTTATACCTCGAATAGAATTTAAAATTAATATTATATAAGGAACTTCGTTCCTATCCAGTGTCCCATGACACCACACATATTTTTTTTAACTATTTAAAGAAATGAAATTTAATACGTACCCAACAAATGTTCACGACTGATTCCACGGTGAAGCAATAGCATCGTGTAATAAAAATCAAACCCGCAAAATTATAATTCACATAATTACTGATGGTAGGACCTCTTGTGAGTGCGCACGCCTAAGTACCACCACCCTGCCTGTTTCTGCCGTGAAACAGTAATGCGTTTCGGCTTGAAGGGTGGGGCAGCCGTTGTAACTATACTGAGACATTAGAACTTATATCTCAAGGTGTCTATGGGCTCCAGTAACCACTTAACACTAGGTGGGCTGAGCACGTCCACCCATCTAAGCAATAAAAAAAATATTTGTTATAATTTCATTTTATTCATAGCTTTCACTGTAATTAATGTATTGAAAAAATGGTGAACCTAAAGAAATAATTCACCCAAGCTGACATTTAATTTTTAGGTCAATCAGTATGTATATTCCATTGTATTAGGAAAGTTTTAAATTCTAACATGTACACAAACCATAGAAACAAATACCCTTTATGTATCGTGAATAATTTTATTTTGTATCATTGATTTGTAATTAACATAAAACACAAATAAGCAAATCGTTGATAAATTTTCACCAATTTGTATTCTTATGCTTGAATGAACTCTACATCTCGCATTCACAATAAATTAAATATGCAAAGATGCGTAATGCATGTATTTCGGTCGGTGACCTCTTTGCGACATGTTACAGTTGTGCATATAATCGTTTCCGTGTTTCAAAATTAATGCCAGGCCTTGGCATAGCGATTGTCGTAGTTTTCCCTTTTCATAAGTCGAGTGAGTACCTTCGCCTTAACTTATATCTAGAAAAATGGCTTCTGTTTTTCAAACAATAAAATGCAATACGCCCTGTTAACTTTGTTGAGTCTTTGAGAACTTAGTTAACTATCGTAATTTAATGCTGTGGTTGTTAGTTAGTAAGCTTTTAAGTAATCAAAGATTTGTTTAAATGTAGCTTTTTCTTAGTAGTAATATATTTGGACCCATTGTTTCGATAAACTCATAAAATTACTATTGTATGCCGGAAATGAAGTAAAAGGAAAGACTGCGGGAAACTATTGTTAAAGGATTTTTCAAGTTAAAAGTATGAAAACTAAAATCCGAGATTTTCTCTCACTTTATAGATGCCGGAAACATACACATGATAAATAAAATCATTGATACATAAAAAATATTTTCAATGTTTTAACTCCAATTGGGGAACTAACCCGAAACTGCGGAACAAACTGTCCTCGAAGGATAAGTCTGGTTGATTTGAGGCTTTTAAATAATAATTAAGTCAGAATGTAAATTAAAATCATTTTAAATTGTCGTTAAATAATTAACTTTGTTAATTCATTATTCTATGAAATAGCTATTATATATGCATAATATAATCCACAAAGAATGTTTTTTTTTTACAAAAAGAATCCGTGTCTTTACCGAATGAAAGTAAACAAAAGCGAAATAATGCAAACATTATTGACCTTAAATTTTGTTCCTCGTGTCTATTTCTATACGAGTAGTAGCATTTAATTTATGTAGACACGCTTAAAAAGACATTGTTCATTTTGTTCTTTATATTATAAAACATAACAGATGAAAGAAAAACAACAACAAACAAACTTTTTATTTTTTTATTGCTTAGATGGGTGGACGAGATATAAGTTCTAAGGTCTCAATTATAGTTACAACGGCTGCCCCACCCTTCAAACCGAAACGCATTACTGCTTCACGGCAGAAATAGGCAGGGTGGTGGTACCTACCCGTGTGGACTCACAAGAGGTCCTACCATCAAAAAAGAAAATAATGAATGAATATTTATGTATTCATGAATAAATATTTATTCATATAGTAATAGTATGTCTAACGTACCATTAGTGGATATGTTCAAAGGTTGTGTGATTGCCGCGGGCGCAGGAGGCGCTGATTCCATTTTCCAGGACGCGCAGCACGAGACGGGGGAAAACTCGGGCGTGGGGCCACTGCCCGCCGATATCAACATGGTCGGGCCACCTTCCTATTGCGATCTCCCTGGAAGCTCAACATACGGCACCGACAAAGTCCACTCAAAGCAATACACAGTTGCAGTTCTAAATTAGTACGAATAACTTCATTCGTATGATAAGATAGTTACGATGCGACAATTTATCGGATAGCACTCGGTTCGCACGCGCTCGCTTGAAGCTCAGCCAGAACACTGAAGAGCGCGCTTGTTGTACCGGCGCGCCCACTCGCGCGCCTACTCCCATTTACACGCCTCGGAAAAAATCTCTGCCGCCAACAACAATAAAATTGCCACCGCTCTATAGAACCTCCGTGCACCTCTCACTCTAACGTTCTTAATTCGATTTCCGAACGCGTCGAAATTATACCGACTTTCGATTCAGTTGAACCTTCCGTCCTGTTCTAAAACTTTAAAACTCCGGTTATCATCAAATTTAAATATTAAAAACCTTATGCCGATAACTTAAGTGATACTTTTCAATGACAGCGGCTATCCGCTTGTAACTTTTTGAATCTGTAGCTCATATTAACTACTCCTACTCGCACTCGTTCGGTTCGGGTTAAGCTTGAACCGTATGAAAGGGACAGGTGCTCTACCGACCGGTAGAATTACAGTAGTGAGCACAGGTGATCTTTTACTGTATCCTCATATAGGAGGTGTTAATGTATACCTTTCTCTTTCTCTCCAATGAGAAATGGCCAAACGAATTTGAGACGACAGTAAGATATGATTGACTTCTTAATTAAATTCAACGCTAGTTAACCATGCTTAGCATCCGCTTTAATGGTCGGAATATCGAATACGTTCCATTCTGAATAAGTTTGAGTGCAGGTTCAATATTCTACACTTTATTGCTTACTCTTATACTTTTATATTCAGGTAAACTGTCATTATTTATTAAGTTTACGGGAGTATATCGGCATTCTAGAACGAGGGATAAAATGTTTGTATGTCAATGTAATCATTATCCCACAAAGTTAACAGCTCGTGAACTATACAGATTAGTCTGAGAANTTCCATTCTGAATAAGTTTGAGTGCAGGTTCAATATTCTACACTTTATTGCTTACTCTTATACTTTTATATTCAGGTAAACTGTCATTATTTATTAAGTTTACGGGAGTATATCGGCATTCTAGAACGAGGGATAAAATGTTTGTATGTCAATGTAATCATTATCCCACAAAGTTAACAGCTCGTGAACTATACAGATTAGTCTGAGAATATAAATGAAAATGAAACGGAGTTGCTAATATGAGAGTAATTATTGACATAGGAGCTATGTACCTACTAGTGTCCGTCAATTAACGAATTGCTGCAAAATACACTCATTAAGTTCTTTTGATCGATGTATTTTTATTTTATAATTACAGGGGAAAGTGAATCGCCGGAAGGTCTCGACCGGAGTGCAACTGTCGTTCGCATACAAGTAGGCACCTTTGAAATTGTTCTTTTGAATTCAAATAATCATATCTCTTTGTACCGTCATTTATATCAATCTGGCGCTGCTCTGTGGTTTTGCTTAAAAGAAAACTAGCAATCAGGTAAACCGTGATATTTTTTTAAAGAATATTACTTAAAATAAATGTTTACATGTATATATATACCTATGTAATGAAGTACGGACGGGGAGGTTTTCGGGGTTCAATCTGATAGGACTAGCTCTAGTAAGAGCAGTGCTTCGCTGAATGTATCGCTGGATTGGAAACGCGACCAACTTTTTCCTCTTTTGCTACCAAAATGGTAGCCTTGAGAGGCTATGCCAGCGTAATCGAGCGAGTAAGTGAGCTCAAAGGGCTCAAACCTAACAACGTTGCTAACTCTAATCCTAGCAAGAGCAGTGCTTCGCTGAGTCTACGACCGGATCGAAAACGCGAGCCACTGAGAAGATCCGGTCACAAACTCAGTGAGCTGTGTCTGTGGGTTAATGAGCCCTTCGCTGCAATTATTCTTTATTTAATTTTTATTGCTTAAATGGGTGGTGAGCTCACAGCCCACCTGGTGTTAAGTGATTACTGGAGCCCATAGACATCTACAACGCAAATGCGCCACCCACCTTGAGATATAAGTTCTCAGTATAGTTACAACGGCTGCCTCACCCTTCAAGCCGAAACGCATTACTGCTTCACGGCAGAAATAGGCGGGGTGGTGGTACCTACCCGCGCGGACTCACAAGAGGTCCTACCACCAGTACAAGTGACGAATTCAACGAGAACGATGACCCGACCAACTAATATGGCCACTTGGCCTCAGTTTTGTTAATGTATAGGAGCTAGTTGCTGCGGTGTTATGTCAGTCCTATGTATAATCTCTTTGTGGAATTTCATTTCTATAATCTGACATACCTCTCTTTCTCTTTTATTATCTATATAGAAAATGACTTTTCTTTCTTTCTCTTTCTTTTGTAATAAATAAATTCTATCCGTTTCACGACATTCTCCGGACTCGATTTCACTGAATTTCGAATCGCATTAGCATGATTTTTCAAGCTTCTTCATTTTCTTCTTACCCTAATGTCGCCCGTGGTGTAGTCGGATCAGCACGGAATGTTCTCTTATCATAGTTACAATTTAATTCGTGATATAAATTATTTCAATGATGCTAAATTGAATTAAATTAAAAATAATCAACAAAATAAATTTTTCTTTTCGCTAATTATGCACTTAGCCAGCATATTTCAGCGAACACTGATACCTACTGATAGTATTTAATAACGCTTCGGTATATCTTCTCAATAATGAATTAAGCTTAAGTAATAATTAACTACAACGTAAATCTAATTATGGGAATAATAATAGAAGCGATTACATTTTTTATTGCTTACATGGGACGAGCTCATAGCCTACCTGGTGTTAAGTGGTTACCGGAGCCCATAGACATCTAGAACGTAAATACCGCCACACACGGCTAAACGGCTGCCTCGCCCTTCGAACCGAAATGCATTACTGCTTCACGGCTGAAACAGGCAGGGCGGTGGTACCTACCCGTTCGGACTCACAAGACGTCCTACTACCAGTAATTACGCAAATTGTAATTATGCGGGTTTGATTTTTATTACACAATGTTATTCCTTCCCCGTGGAAGTAAATCGTGAACAATTGTTAAGTACGTATTTCATGAGAAAAATTGGTACCAGCGTGCGAGATTCGAACAACGTTACACCGTTACATATGAATGCGACGGACGTCTTATCCTTTAGGCCACGACGACTCAACCACAGGCACGACATTAACCCTAGTTTCTATTATTCTATTTATTTGTTTATTTATCTATATATTAATACGTGAAGCAAAAACTTTGTATCCCTTTTTACTAAAATTGCGCGGACGGAGGAGTATGAAAGTTTGCACACTTATAGAGAATATAGAGAAGAAGTGCACAATGCTAATATTTTTTCAAAATAATGCATTAAAGATACAGTAAATGAATAAAGAGAACATTACACACACTACATACCATGTATTTGACGCACACACGCATGCATACTATTTATTGTCAAACTTTTGTTTTTGGCGTCTGTTGTCAAATTGAGAATAGATTAAATATTGTTGTTAATATTTTTTACAGTGTGAAATAAAATATTTTATAATTGGCGAAATTTGTGATTATACTTATAGAAGTATAAAATACAATCATATTAGTGTACAAACTTAAGATTCCAATTAATTATAGTCGAATTTCGACTAATGCGGGATCTCTAGTATTTATTAATTTACTTACAAATGTCTATGAGCTCCTGTGACCAATTAACACAAGATGCGCTCCGACTAGATTACCGGTCCAAAAAAAAAAAACAAAAAAAAGTTTTGGAACTCTTTATTAATAGGTATTGGATGTTTCGTGCAAAAAAAACTAACTGGTGACATGAAGTAATTTCTTAATATATATTTACTAATTGTTACTCGTGGTTTCGCCTACATGATCCAGGAAAAGTGTCTATTATTTTTTGTAAAGCGTCAAGTAAATTTCCGCAAGAATGAGTTTTTTTCCAAGATTAAAAGTGCTAAACATGTCAATCCGTTGCTACATTTCGATATAAAAAAGGACAAGCAACACACAAATAAACAAACAAACACACTTGCACATTTATGATATTAGTATGAATATGTACCATCGTAATGATAGGTATATATTATTATATACTTGGACACAAATACTGGAATTAATTTTTAAATGGAAAATAAAACTCAATTTGTACGGGTTTTTTTTCGATACGAATTATCATATTTAGAGAAATTTTAGGAGCTAATTTTGGAGTTAATTAGCTAATTTTATTAATTCCACTTTATGATGTTTCTACAATACATGAAGCGATCGTCAGAGCCCACAACTACAAAAGAACTTTGAGACTTTTGATGTACCTAAGTCTTAGGTGTAATGATACTTCGGTTGTCTTATCCTTAATACAATAATTTTTAGACAACAATAATTATCAGTTCACGGCAGAAATATGCAGAATAGCTGTTTTCCATGCGTGTGTACCACAAGTGTCCACAAGAGACGTTCAGCTAGCGTTAAGCTGCCACCCAGCGGGGTATCCCGGAACACCAGCGGCATCGCTCGGGTGGCTTGGTAGGGTGTCGTACCGCGGAGACTGCCGTCGTTGGTCATCGACTATCGCCTCGACGACCCGTCGGTCGGGCGTCCTCGGTATGGCGCCGCGTGTCTGGTTGTAGTGTTGACCGCGTTAACCCCCGTACTCTGACCGGGTTCTGACCCCGGACGGAGATCGGACGTCGGGTGTAAGAGTTCAGGGGAGTCGCTTAGTAGAGTCGGTAGGGCCGTAAAACTCCTTGGGCCCGTAGTCTGCTCCAAACATCAGCAAATCGTCAAGTCCCACATACCTCGCGCGCCCCCTTAGGCGCGCGGACCTCGTAGGAGGTTCGGCCCCCGACCCTGAGAAAAAAACAAGCGTTAAGCTGCTACCAAAGATCGGAACGTGTTAATTGCCGTGAAATAAGCCTACAATTTACTTTCTTCTAGGAAGAACTGGTATGTTAACCGATTGCAGAGCATATTTCTGGCACACAATACCCCTAGTAATGCTGTAATCTATGAGCGACGCTCACTACTCATCATTAGAGGAAACTTATCATCGTCTATCTATAAAGGAAATTAAAAAATAAAAGTTAGTACATTATTATATTTTAAAAAGTAAACCATTCCTGTACTATTTTCTCACAATCTGAATTAGTGACATTGTCAAATGAAATTTCTAGAGCAACAATAGTAGTCGACTTAAGTAATACCAACAAAATTATAGTAGGGCCTTTAAAGTAATAAGAACCGTCTTTCAATTATCGAAGTGTTTGAATAAACGCAGGCAAGATCAAGATCAAGCTTATCGCAAACGTTTTAAGTAATAATTAACTAATCTCATTAGATAAGT